CCGCTGCCGACCGCAAATGCGATAAAATGCAAATCTCTCTTGATGCTAAAAGGACACCACCGAGCCAAGCGCAACAATTCAAATCCAAAACCGAAACCAAAAGCCAAAAAACGTGGATTCCAAGTATCCAAGCCAAAAAAACCCAAATGGAAGCGACAAAACAATGGCAGCAAAAATGGCTTCGCTTGTTGTGATGTTGTTGCTGCTGCTGCTGCTGTTGCTGTTGGTGGCACATCAATGTCACGGCATCGACAGCGGGCCAAGAAGTTGCCTGGAGGAGATTTTTGCAGGGGGTGGTGCCGGCAGACAGGAGACGGGCTAATCTTCATCAGCCGCCGTTTGTAGTTGGCGCAAAGTGTAAGCTCACACAAATCCCCAAGGGAAGGAGGCGAAGCGGGAAAAGCGGGATCCGATGCGGATGCGGATGAGATGGATGCAGCTTTATCTGCTCAATAGATGGACATTTGGATAGATTGTTCTTGTTTGGCTTTGACGTTAGCCAACAGCCAGCCAACTGCCTGCAGTCAGCCACCTCTATCCCTAACCTTATCCCGCGCTGCATTATGAGATTCTATCATCGCTTTTGCCGGTGTGTGTCCAAATTGTTTGGCCACAGTAGCAGCAGCAGCAGATGCTTCTCCTTTTGTTTGCTGCTGATCATCACAGAGAAAGAAATTTTATGGATTAATTTTGAAGATTTATAAACTCTTACTTAGTTCTTGATATCTTTATTTTCGTTTTATCCGTTTTTAAATGGAATTTCTTACGCAAGAACACACTTGATAAATTTGCCCAGGAAGTGTGCGTCATAAACGATGTTGGTCACACTACAAACTCTTTTCGTTTGTCAATTAAGTTAAGAAACTTTCCAAAATTCCCACATTTATTGTTTTCCCCCAGTGAACCCTTTAAAAACCAGCTGAAAAAGAACAACTATTATTATATTTTAATGGCTACCTTTTGTTGCAAGTATTGGGATTGGATTGGATTTGAGTTGGAGTTGGGGTTTGAGTGGAACGGATACATGGATGGATGGATGGATGGAAGCCTGGTTGGTTGGATGATTCTATTGCCATTATGGCCGCAAACAGTGCTTGTTCCATTATGCGGCGTTCGCTTGTCTGTCTCTAATGGATTCCCGATTCTTGATTCTTTCTGAACTGTTTGGAAATACAAGCTTTTTGGCTGCGATTTGGACGTTGGACGGACGATGGCCTCATCTTCGGTCGGTTCATTTCTGTCGCTGTTTTTGTGTCGGCGGCGCCAGTCCTCAAACGTATCGAGTTACAATTGGCGTCTTTTCTTCTTTTTTTTTTTTTTTGGGACTGTCGGCTAGCCGACCTTTGATGCAGCTCATTTGGGCACTTTCTGTGATCTGCGATCTCTTACTCAATGGAGCTTTGTTGTTATCCCTCTGCAGCTCCTCCCACATCGCTAAGCGGAAACGGAAATGGTCTGCTGGAAAGCTTTGGCGGAATGAAGAAAGCAGCCGCAGGAGATTCATAAAATCTTCTGTTGTGTTTCTTCTGCGTTTTTGTACTCTGCTCCGATCCATTCCAATCAAGCCCCGGCAATTAGCGATGGCCAGCAATTGGCTTCCACCAGCCAGCCATTCGGCACTCCCCTTGTGAGTGGCCCTTCTTCTTGCATTTATTTCGTGGCAGCAATTATTTTCGCATTTGTTGGCCACTTGTGAATGCTAATGCCGATGATCGGGATGGAAATGGAATTGGGAGTGGGAATGAGAATGGGAATGGGAATGGGAATGGGAATCGGAGCTGGAATTGGATTTAGGCTCTCAAAGGAAGTCTCGAAGCCGGGAGGTGAAAGAAAAAACGAAGGGAAACGAGCTTATTAGTGCAGCCATTGCCATTGCCATTGCCATAACTTTGGACAATAAAACGCAGTCGGGGCTCGAGACTTCAAAGGATTCAAAAGTGTTAAACTGACATGCAAGATGAGAGGCAGAAGCCAGAGAAGAACAAGATGGTCAGGTGGCATCAGGGGAAAGGCTGGATGAGATCCGGGGCGGTTGAGATGGTTCATTCTTCAGTCAGCCATAAATCTGCACTTTCAAAAATATTAACATTTTATTACCAGGGTATTAAGTGAGAAAGGAAATAGTTTATAACAAAGAACTTGCTTTAAATCTTTTCGTTTGAAATGAATTGGTTGTTTTGGTTACATTTAAAATAATTTTTACAAAAAAACATGGATAGGCGCCAAATGACAATATCGGAGCATTACTATTTCTTTTTTAGAATTTGTTTAAGTAACGTTTTATATCTTTAACCAGATTTTTAGATCATTTTAATTTGTATTAAAAGCAATGTTAGGCTCTCCCCCTATATCATTTATTTTTCCCAGTGCATCTGTGAACCGTCGCTGAGTTCAACAGTGATGACGGCGGATTGGATTGGGGATTGGTGGTGGAAATTGGAATGGGAATGGCAACTTGGGTTGTGCCCGGCCAGTCAGTTTAGCGTCATCCCCTTGGCCGTACGCCCCTGCCTGGTGCGCCCCCATAACTGACACTTGCAATGAAGACATTAGCCGCTAATGGAATTGTTATTAAGCCGCAGAAGCGCGCCTCTGGAAGAATTCTTCAGCGGATGAGAATCTGCAAAAGGATCAACTTGATGATGGTCGTCTCTGCTGCTGCAGCAGCTTTAATTTGCTCATCAGAGTGCGAGCCATTCGCGTCGGAATAAAATTATTATTGTATTTCATTTTGAATTTCGTATGTGGGATTCCCCTTCCGCCTCCTCCTGGGCAGTGTAATCACTTTATTGTGAGCTTGATGTATTGACAAATTATAAAAACATAAGGCCCAGAGAGAGAGTCTCTGCGGATATCCAACAACTTGAATTGAGCCTTAACACGCATTCCGCAAATCACTTATTTTGCAATCAGAAGAGAATCCCAGCACTTGCACTTCCACTTCCACTTGCTCCTCCTGGCATGATGGTGATGGTGCTCCTCTGACAGTGGGCAGGGCTCTGAGGTCTGGTGGCGGAGCTGTCGATGTCTCGCGATTTGACAGGCCGAGTGAAAAATGCTTGGCCCTAGAACAATGCCAAGGGTTCGATCTACGTGCGCATACTTGGCGAGCCACTTAAACGGCTTTAAAAATAAACCGAGATCCAGGGTAACAGCTTCAAACTAAGATCACACAGTAAAAAATAGCAAATAAGTTCTAATATTTTAAGAAAGAAATATATTTCTAGGTAAAATGAGAGGGTAATATAATAAACTAAGCCTTTTGGTATTGGTAATTCTTTTAAATTCGGGATTAATTCTCACAATTCAAAGGGATTTTTTCTTTAAACATACATGGGCACCAAATTTAAGTTTTGGAGCAATTTAGATGAGATATTCCAAGGATTTAATGCTATTGGGTGTCTTAAGTTGTTTAAATTTTTCACTGTGCATTTCTGGAAATGGGTTTAACCCTTAAGCCTTTTTGCCTTTTTCCTGGCTTTCAGCCCATAACAAATTAAGGCTTTTCACTTTCCGTCGTGATTGTTCCTTTTGTTTTTCCCTGTCTGATGTGTGTGTGTGTACACACCCCAAAAAATGTGCGTAGCCCAAATGAATACCTAGGCATCAGCGCCAACAACCCATAATCATAATCATCATCATGATGATCGTCGTCCTCATCCTCATCCTCATCCTCATCCCGATTTGCGTTGTTATTTCCACTTGGTTTCTTAGTCCCCCAATCCATTCTTGGCGGATCGACATCCAGGTGGCTTCGTCGTTATTTGTATTCGCTGTAATATGAATTGACTGCTACTAATAATAACCACAAGCGTTTAGATGCCCTCCTTCTGAGTAAGGATAGCGCTGAACTGCGCGTTCCTGCGAAATGTGACCGAAAAAAAAAAAACAACATGCATATAGGTAGCACTCAGAGAGGGTCGAATATGAAAGTACTCTGTAAAAGTATTTAAAATTAAATGATTTATTTTGAAATTTTATTTTATTATTATTTTTCACACAAATTTCCGTTTAAAAATATATTTTCATGTGTTTACTTTCTGCATTGACTCCATTGACTTTCATTTTATAATACAAATTCAGTATTTTTTATAAGAAAACATTTTGTTATTATTTATTTTGTTTCCAAAAACCATATACCTTATTAAAGAAATCGGTATGAAAAAGGCTTAAAAAAGGAAGCAAATTTCAGCAGCTCTTCAGAGCTGGCTTTGTTGATCTGCTGCAATTGATATGGAGAGGAGAGTCTTCCATGGACAGTCGAAGCCTGGCAAATGGAAATAACTCAACTGGGGACCCGAGCACCGAGATTTCAACTGCGAACTGGAACTGGGACCTGGTGGAGGGGACCTCGAACTAAGGGAAATAATGATAATGACGACAGGCAAGGGCGATGGCAGGGAACACAGGCGGAGTCCAGGCGGAGGTGTGGTGCAGGCCAGAAATCAGCAACAAATAAATGAGTTCATGCAACGTCTTTGAAATGAAGACAAAGTGGATGTCGGTTGTTGGTTCTCGATCTGTTGTTGTTGTGGTTGCTGATTCTTGGATCTCCTTGGGCTGTCTGCAGAGTGTCTGGAGGAGCCTATAGGATCCAGAAGTCCAGCAGATCTCCGATTCTTTCGTGAGTTGTAGCAGTTCAAGAGTTCAGCAAAACTTTTGCCACCTACTACACAGGGGAAATGTTACTTTGTTGAAAATTTAGAATCCTTGTACTTGAGGATTTCCTTCCTTTCATTTATGAAAATTTATATAATTTTTAAAGTTTTCTATAGACATTTTCCTCTGTGTACTCATTTCTTCCTCGCTGGCTGACACGTGGGCGTGCCTGGCACTTTTCCTTTCCAAGTTGTTTAAACTCCTAAAAGGAGAAGCCCCTCTATTGTGCCCACGTGGGGTCTCCACTCCCTCTTTTTTACCTCTTGCAGCAAATTAATCACACATTTGGGGTAATTTTTATATATTTCTTTCAGTTTTAAATATTTATTCTTTTGCTTTCTTCGTTTTTTTTTCGCTATTATAAACTATTCGCGGGGCTTAGGGGCTAAGAGGATCCTTAGAGAGAGACTGGTGAACATTTATACAGATTCGTTTTTTGCTAGAAAATAAGAAATTACACAAGTAGCATCACACACATGTGGATAATATACACTAAGGTCTAAGATCTATATAGATATATATATAATAATAACTGGTAACTAGTCTATACTTAAAAGATTTCTCCATCGAATCTATCATCTTCTTGGTTTACTATTCATTTATTTCGGTTTTTACACAGCAAGAAGATGAAGGAAGGGTTTATTTCTGATTTCTGTTTCTCCCCAACAATGATTACTTAAACAACTTTTTACAATTTTCCGCTCGTCTCTCTCTCAGAGCAGAATATATGGAATGGATATGGAGATGGAGATGGAAATGTGAATCGCAGGCATGGCTTGATCCCCTTTAAAACAGGGATAGGCGGTCTGCTTAAGTGCACTTGGTTTTTTTTTGCTTTTGCTCCCATAAAAAACGAGTTTAGGGTTACAGTCCTATGCTACATCTACAGTTACAGAGATACTTAGGCTACGTACGGATACTTAGGCTACAGATACAGATACAGATACAGATTCGAGCGAATTCGGTTCGAGTTAGAGTTCGAGTCGGAGTTATTCGTTGGTTACTATTCCTAGGCTCTAAATGCTTACAACTTATGGCTGTTCCGGCTCCTCCTGCAGCTGCTGCTCCTCCTCGCTTTTTTGGCTCTCGGTTGTGTGCAAGCAAAGGAGTTTTCAGAGAGTCTATGTTGGCTTTGTGGTCTTTCATTCGTTCGTTTTTGTTACCCTGGGATCTGCACCCTGCACCGAATGCCCCGAATGAGGCTACTGGAAGAGATTGCTGCTACTTGTTTAAATTATTTTATGTCTTTATAATGATGATGCCTGTGTTATTAGGCTGGAATTTCTTTATATATATCAAATTAGCATTTAATTAGTTTCAAGGCTCATAAATATTGAAGTTTATTAAGTAATTTCCTAGTTGCAATCTCAACCCTGCCCCACCTGAGGCCATTATGTGCAATGGACAATCCCAACTAATAATATTTTAATGTGTGCTATATGTATAAAATATATATACAAACAATTGTTAATGGGCGATGTGTGCGTGTTTAGTGTGAGTGTGTGCAAGTAATACTATATGCATGTACATCTTCTGGACTTAATTATCCTACTATTCCATTTACATCCTACATCCTTGTGCCCACATTCCCTCGCTGACTGGGCTGTGGGGCGTGGCCATGTCGTGGCAATGAGACATGCGGCAAATGCGTTGGAGGCCCCGCTCCCAGAGGCGATATCGATGGTGACCTTGTGGCCAATGGTGAAAGTGAAGGGGAGAAGGACGGTGACATTGCTGAGGATGTGCTGAAGCTACCGCTTGCCTCATGACCTATGGGTGAACGTGGCAGATGAGCGGGAGCCAAACTCAGGTGGGGTGGCAGCCTCATTGGCAGGTTAATCGCTCGTGGTGCCACATTGGTCAAGAGCGGCGGTGGTATGTGAGTGGGGGCCGAGGGTGGTGGCTTCAGCACCACACTGCCCGCTCCCGAGGACGAGTGTTTGCTCTTGGCGGACGAACTGGCACCACTGCCGCTGTGTCCACTATGCTCAGAGATGGTGTCATCCTTCAGTCTCGCTATCTCGGAAAAGACATGGGCCAGCGGTTGGTACTGGGGTCCCCAGTCCAGGAGATAATCCCAGTTGTAGCTCCCAGTAAGCTCCTCCTCGCTGTGTACGATGGAACTCAGGGATCCGCCCACATTGCTGCCACCCACGACGACGGGGACAGGGACAGGGACTTCACCGTAGCTGCCCATCACTCCATGGCCATGGGTAATGGCTGTGCCAATGGTACCAATTGAACCCGCAGTGGTTCCCGCATCATCGGCACTACTCCCACGCTCCGAACCCGCTCCCGTGACGTCGTTTAGCTTGGCATAGATGAGGTTCGTGATATCCGATCTGGCGGTGGCATCATCATCGTGGAACATGTGCATCGGGTGACTGGAACCAGCCATGCTGGAGGCACCTCCACCGCCACCACTGGGATCATGGTCTACGATGCCCAAGCGGGCCAAGTACTCCTGGGTATTTTGCACAGATATATCCGAGATTCTGCCATCATCACTGCCAGCTCCAGCTCCTCCGTTTCGGTGATGCAGTGGTCCCTCGTTGATCATCCGGATTTCCTCATCCTCGCCATCATCTTCCGCCGATCCTCGACCACTTGAACCAGACTGTTCGGAGCCGGAAAGCTCAGAGGTGGTGGCTGCTCCCGAGCTGCCGGCATGAGGACCAAACGGAGGAATTTCGTCATATTTTGGAGGAGCAAACTGACCAGAAGCTGCTCCCGCAGCACCACCAGTGATCCCGCCTCGAATGGGTATCGTATCAAAGGCACTGGGATCAACATAGCTATTGGAATTGCCCACACCCACAGTCTCCGTGCTGAGATGAGGCTTCACCACATTCCTAGGCTTTCGACTTCTCATGTGGATGAATAGAAAGATGCCAGCAGCAGCACAAAGGATAAGGAGAAAGGCCACAACAATTCCTATGGCCCAATCGCCCATAGAGCCGCCACCTGAAGCACCGCCAGCACTGGCCAGATTTGTGCTAGGATGGGCCAAAGGATCCAGAGCAATCTCCACAACAGCCATGCTGGAGAGGGAGTTGTGACGTCCCGACGATGCAGAGATTACCAGGCTGATGTCACGACCATCCATGTACAGATTGCCACCATCTCCATCGCCGTCCAACTTTAGTTTCCTCTTGATCAGGACAGCACCACTGCTGCGGTTCACCTTAAAGTGCGAGTGGGGGGCGCTCAGCTGGTAAACCACTCTGCCATCCGGACCACTGTCGCCATCCGTGGCCGTGACCTGACCCACCACGAAGCCCTGGGGCAGAGCCACTGCCGCTGGCAGGACGAACCGATAAGTGCGCTCCGTAAACTGTGGTGTAAACTCATCCCTTGACTCGATTTCCACTCGCACTGCCACTCGGGCCCGTTTGCCGCCCATATCGGATGCCTGGAGTTCCAGGTCATAGCGCTGCCTCTGTTCGTAGTCGAAAACGGAGGCGGATGTGACCACACCCGTTTCCGGATCCACCCGGAAAAGTTTCCACGAACTGTCATCGTTGGGAGCTGGTGCAATGCTGTAGTTAAGCTGTCCAAAGGGTCCTTTGTCCAAATCACTGGCATGAGCCCGGAAAACGGAGCTACCAACTGGTTCATTCTCGGCCAGAAAGTGAACGTATTCAGAGAGCGGGAACTTGGGTTCATTGTCATTCTCATCGTGGAGTTCCAATCGGAAGGGTTGCAGGGTACAAAGAGGCCTCGGATGGTGACTATCGCAGGCTCGAAGAATGAGCTCATAGCTCTTGGCACCGCTGTCATAGTCCAATCTATTATTCACAAAGAGTACACCCGTCACCAGATCTATGGTGAACATGTGCTCATCATTGCCCGAGGTGATGTCGTACACCACTTCGGAGTTTGGCGTATTCTCCTGATCAGCATCGATTGCCTGTAACTGAGCTATGGAGTACCTCAGGGGAGCTAATTCACTGATCTCCGCCTCGTACTTGGCACTTCGGTCGAAAACGGGATAGTTGTCATTGGCATCGAGAATGGTAATTATCACGGAGATTCCAGAAGTAGAATTTGAGCTTGAAGAAGGTGCCGAACCATGGGGATGACTTAAAACCAAGCGAAGTTTATACAGATCATTGCGTTCCCTATCCAAAGGCTTGACCAGGACAATAGCCTTGGATTGAAGTAACTCGAACGCGCCCTCCTCGTTTCCAGACACAATTGCAAATGCCTGATCCTGGACATCTTGTCCCAGTTGGAGTACAATCGAACCAAGTGCAGCAGCCTCACTGATTTGTGCCCTATATTGTGTCTGCTGGAACTGCGACCTCCCTGAGCCACTGTCACTGGGCTGAACTCGCAAAAGAGTGGAACTTTTCATAGGTGGCTTGCCGCCATCCTTGGCCAAGATTCTCACAAAGTAATCTCCGCTCGGGGAGGCTGCTGAGAGTTGCAATCTGCTCATGTTGACAAAGACAACACCACTTGTGGGATGCATAGAGAACCCTTCCAGTGGTGGCTCTATCGAGTACTGAACACGGGAGTTCTGGCCTTCGGCATCCGCATCTGTTGCATTCACAGTCAGCAGTTCTATATCCATGGATAAACTATCACTAATGTCGGACAACGCTGGCAATATGGCAAAGTAGGCCGGGGGTTGTTGGGCCAGGAATATGGGTGCATTATCATTTTCATCGTTCACCCGAACAGTCAGGATTGTGCGAGCTTCATGAGCTGCATCGGAAGCTATCACCTCGACCTCGTATTCCTGCTGCAGTTCATAGTCCAATCTACGCTTCAGAACCAACTTTCCACTATAGCGATCCAAGGCAAAGATGGACAAGTTCTCAGTGTCCAGGGGAGATTCGTTACCAAGTCGATAGGTAAGAGCGGGATAAGTGTCCACATCGTTGGCGGAAATGGAGGTTATTACGGCTCCCAGTTCAGTGCCTGAAAAAGGATAATAAATAAAGAAAAAACGGGGAATGGAAAATATTAACTTGGGAATATTATAATAACTACAACTATAAATTAATCCTTAAAAGGAATGTTTTAAAATATTATTTAATTTACTCACCTTCACTGACTGTGACAAGATTGTTGGGTGGAAAGGTGGGTTGATTATCATTAACATCCACAATCTGTACCCTTATTGTGGCCGTGCCCGTCATCTGGGGCACTCCTTCATCCGTAGCGATGACCTTGAGGTTGTAGATATCACGGATTTCGCGATCCAAGACGATATTTGTTTTCACTATGCCACTGAAAGCAGGCTCAATGACAAAGGCATTGTCGTGGTTGCCATCAACGATGTGATATCTCAACCTGGAGTTGGAACCCGCATCCGAATCAAAGGCCTGAACTTGGGCCACAAAGGTACCCTTGCTATTGCCCTCGGAAACGGTGGCCACAAATTGTTTTTGCGAAAATTGTGGACTATTGTCGTTCTCATCCTCCAATTCAATCACAAGCTCCGAGTATGTGGTAAGGAATGGTGCATCCGTGCTCCGAGCCACGATTACCACATGCATCTCATTGGGTTGGCTGTTGGTCAGGTCGAAAGATGTGGATGTCAAAGCTCGTTGGGATCGTGTGGTGTTGCTGGAATCCTCCTCGGATGTCTCCTGCAATTCCTCTTCGTAGTGCAGGGCTCTACCCCGGTTCAGGGCTGACATGGAGGGCGTGGCAAAGCGATCAAAGTCCAGTAGATGCGGTTTATTCACTCTGATCTCTCCGGAAATCGAATCCAGGGAGAAAATGTCATCTTCGTTACCAGCTCCAAAGGAGAATTGCACCCTTTGCCGACGACCATCGCTTCGAAGGGCTACAACTTGGATAATCTTTGTACCCGATGGAGAATTCTCCTTGACCTTGACTCTGTAGGTTTCGTTTTGAAAGTGCAAAACAGGCACTCCTTGGGGAGCCTCACCCACCAGGAGTTCAATGAGACCCACACTGGATTGCGGTGGATTTCCCTTATCCCTGGCCAACACTTCCAGTTGTAGCAATTTGCCGGATTCGCTGGCCAAACTCTGTGAGGCACTCAAAGCACCTGTGCTGGGATTTATCCGGAACTTGCCACTAATTGCGGAATTCTCCGCTTTCAGAGAATAGATCACCTCTCCATTGCCACCCAGATCGGCATCGTGGGCCTGCACCTTGAGCAATGTCTGTCCCGGTTGGATAAGAGCCGGAACCTGGCCAATGTACGGATATCTTTCGAAGACCGGCCTATTGTCGTTCACATCCAGTACATTGATCTGTACCGAAACCGAAGCCGATCTCACCTCGTAGCGTCCTCCGTCCGTGGCCAAAACCATGAAGCTGTAGCTTGCCTGCAGCTCGCGATCCAGTTTGCTGCAAGGAAAAACCAAAGAAGGAGGGAAAACCAAGGGGGAAACGATTCAATTAATGGCTTGAACACGATCAGTCGGCGATGGGCGCCGCTTGCGACACTAATTAGGTATCTCTGGGAGCTAGCTGCTCTTCTATATATATGTATATATATAATCGTAATCCCACCGACAATTAGCCACACGAAATGATTCGCAATGGATCTTCTAAACAGGAACCCATGAAGATGATGTGCACAGAGAGAAAAGTGAGCAATTTTTGAAAGTATTTTTCAACAGTATCTATAAACAGATTTAATCTTTGTGCCACAGTGCACAATGTTATTGGGGGTCTTGAGTGGTAATTAAGTCATTTGTTTGTGCTCTTCCCACTGGAGATGCACACTCGCATTAGCATTCTTTGGGACTTGAGCTAACTTGATCCGAGGCCTCAGCTACTTCTCGGTTTTTTATTTTTTTCACTGATCCAAGAAACTAATCCCGGCAGTTGGACTGCCTTCCTATCGCGCTATCACGCTCCTCTGGAACATGTTTGCTGCCACAAATAATAAACCAAAATGATTACAATCCTTTGCAGGCAGAAGGCAGCCAGTCGCCGCCATTCCATTGCCATGCCATTCCGCGCTTGCATGTTGGCCAATAAAACGAATTTAGCAAATTACAAGCTCATCCCGTGAGCACAGAGGGCCATTTTATGAATTGAATCAGTCAAACTGAGGACTGGACTGGACTGGAGTGGTGTTTTCCTCCTCGTTCCTTCCTCCTCTGTGAAACAACAGCAGAAATGCTTTCAAGGGTCAGTCATCAGTTGAGGTTTCTGCTGCTGCTTTTGTTGTTGGTGATCATTGGACGTGGATTTGGAGACTTGGAATGAGTGGCAGTGGCAAGGAATGGGTCAGGGAATCAGGGGAGACGGACGACGGCGAACAAGCCAAGTTGGACAAAGATTGGGCCTAGACTGATTATGCACTGAGAAGAAATCAGTGACTTAAGCTAGTTCTAGATTAATAAATTACATTTATCTTCTCTTTAAAATTAAGTTAAAGAAATTATGAATAAGAAACGTATTTAAAATACCTCAGTTCTCGTGTACTTTGTACACTGATTACCAGACAGACTACAAATATATCATATTTATACCCATTGAGGGTTTTATAATGTTAGTAAAAGTTTGTAACTCACAAAGGAGTCATTTTCGACCCCATAAATCATATATATTCTTGATCAGCATCATCAGCCGAGTCTATTTAGACAGGAAACTATTCGGGCAGGGAAAAAATTTTAATTATTTTTTCCAAGTTTAACAGATATTAAATTGTCAAAAATGAAAAAAAAAAAATTAATTTTTTACATTTTTAATTGAGTATGCAGATTTAATAACCTAAGAAAATCTAGCATAGGAAAGCTTTCCGAATTACATTTAAAGCCTTTTTAGCTGAGTTATGAGTTTTTTAAACTCTGATTTATCGAAAAATTGACATATAAAATATCGATAAATATCGATCCAAGAATGTGAATATTTTCAGCCTAGTTATAATCGATTTCCTATTCGTTTTTATATTTTAATTGTAAACTGCAAGGTTATATACATTTCATTAACAATCTAGTTTCCTTTCTTGTTAACATCGTTTTCTCTCAGTGTTGGGCTGCCTAGCCCTAAGCTCTTGACTGCCGCTATTGCCCGTTGAGGTTCGCTCTGCTAGCTTGTCCATCGTCAGTCAGTCAGTCAGAAAACAGAGGGAAAAAACCCAACAGAAAGAAAACTAGCAACATCTTGGCCTGGACAAGCGGCAGGCACATTTTTGTCTTTTTTTTCTCCACTCCACTCTGCTTTTGTTTTTGTTTTTGTGTTTTCTGTGACTGCTCCAAGTCCAAGAGCAAATCCAAGACCAAGTCACAATCCCGAGTCCCGAGTCCAAGTGCAAGTCCAAGACTAACAACAACGTCACGAATTGTCTCTGTCTGTCTGTCTGCTCTACAATTCTGTACCAACTGCATGTGGCCCTCGTTCTCCTTCTCCCTGAGCTCCATCTCCAGCTCCAGATCCAACTATAGCTCCTCTAGATCCCGATTCTTTTTGTTGCTTTGTTTCTACCTTTTTTTTGGCGGCATTGGCAGTGGCGGTGGCGGGGATTTCGTTTTTATTGTTTGCCGACAATCAGCGAAAGATAAAAATTGGTACATGACAGCGGATCGCGTTTGTATAAATGGCAACACTGACGCTACTGTCATTTCGAGTGTCCCGTGTGCTCCCTCTGGCCCCTAGGAATATCTGGATACTCCCTGCTCCTCCCTCCCTACCCGTACCCGTACCCGCAAAGTGGTGATCTTGGCTGGCCGGAACTGAGCAAGAGCTATGTCAGACGGAACAAGCAATTGTTGTCATCATTGATTGTCAATGAGCATAAATTTGCACCAGAGGGGGCCTTCAAGGTTTACAGAGAAAAGAATTTACAGAGGAAAAAATAAGGTTGTGGAATATAATTTTAATTTTGCTGATTCGTTAAGTACTTGTTCTATTATAAGTTGTATCTTTTGGATCTGGAAAGGATTAAGCCAAAGCTATATTATGATTATATTTCCTTGACAATACTGCAGTAATCTTTAAAAACGGATGTTTCCAAAGAACTTTTCTTAAATGTAATAGAGTCCGAAAAAGGAATTGTCATCCTTGATTCCTTGGTGAATATGTTCCTCCTTTTAATAAGTTTTATTTCGATTCAAATACTATATTCTGATTTCTCGATTTTCCTCTACTTTCCCCTAAACCCACTACTCTTTTTCTCACTCTGCACACAGTCAGAGATCACACACGTTTGCGGACAGAGACAGAAACTCATTGAGGAACCGAGTTTTAGACTCCATTTCAAGTTCCAGCTCCTCCACCTTAAGCTATTTATAGGAATGCGTGTGCGATGTGCTCCTTGGAAGGGGAAAAGGTGTCCAAGGAGAGAGGGTGAAGCACAAGGAGATGACAGGAGACGGATTCGCAACATTGTCGCTGTGTAGGATGCGTAGGATGTGAGCAGATAGCTCGACGGCGGATACATTGATTTCCCTGCCTGCTTGCATTAGTTGTTGCGAAAATTATGGCAATGTTTTCTTTTGCTTTTGAGATCCAACTGGGAGATAAGATCAAGGCAGACCCCAAAGAGATACCCAGGAGAGAATCCCTTAAGCTAAAGACTTACCCGACAGTGGTGATTAATCCGCTTTCGCTGTCGATGGCAAACTGCCATTGGGTTTCATTCGCCAAAGAGTAAACGAGTCTGGCATTCACACCCAAGTCTGCGTCCGAGGCACTGATCTGCATCACACTCGTCCCGAGTGGTGCGTCCTCCTGGACACTGGCCACGTACTTGGGAAGCTTGAACCGCGGCGGATTGTCGTTTTGATCCTCCACCAAAATGGTGATGTTACAGTGTCCCTGACGACTCCTCGGCTGACCACGATCGGAGGCTTGGATCTGCAGAGAGTATCGGGATTGCTGTTCCCGGTCTAAGGGACGAGCACTTAGCTCTCCGGAACGGGCATCGATGGTGAACTTGTTGCCAAGATTACCACCTTGAAGAGAGAGGAGAGAAAGCAATAGGAATAATGGGAATTAATATATATACTAAATACAACTTCTTTTTAATATTTACCTGTAATACTGTAAATTAAATCCGCATTGGGACCTTCATCCAAATCGCTGGCCACCACAGTGTGAATCACTCCGGACTCACTGTTCTCGGGAACAGATAAGCCATAGCATGATCCGGGTCGAAATTCCGGTGTATTATCATTGACATCCCCGATGGTGATGTACACGGTGGCCACATCAAAGTGTTGGCCATTGTTACCCTCGCCATTGCTCTCCGAGGAGCGCTGTTTCCTCACCGCCGACTGGGAGGAGGATGTGGCCAAGCGGTTGGCATCTCTGACATAGACAGGCAGGATATAGCTAGCCTGGGATTCCCGGTCAAAGGGACCTCGCGTGGTTATAATGCCACGCTGCCAGTCCACATGGAACAGATCTTGGGCAACACCGGCGGGGATTTCATAGCTTAGATTTGCTAGGAAGAATAGGAAAAAAAGTCATAGGTTAGGTGCTTCCTTTGTTAGTAATATTAAAAGGAATTTAAAGTAAAGTCTCATCCAATATCCTTACCATTTTCTCCGCCGTGAAAGGACTTTGCTGTGACCTGCAGGACAAAGCTGCCACTGGGCACATTCTCCAAGATCGTCGAACGATAGACAGCCTGCAGGAATCGAGGGGATTATTATGATTGCCTTGGACAATCAGTTGCAGGTTTAGACTGCTTCTCCTTGGCTCTGGTTGCCCATTATCCCGGGCACTGATGACCAGGCTGAAACGGCCACTCTTTTCCACATCCTCGGGTGCCGGCGGCAGGGATTTGACCAGCTCCACAAGTCCCGTTTGAGCATTAATCCGGAAGCGACCTTCTCCATTGCCACCGGTTATTTCATAATTAATGCGTCCATTGTCACCCGAATCCTCGTCGATGGCCACAATGTGAGCCACAATTTCACCAATCCTTGTGGCATCACTGATGAACAGTGAAGCCATCTTGCCACCATTTGTATTCGGGGACACAAACTGCGGGGCATTGTCATTGGCATCCAGGATTCGTAGTCTCACCGTAACCGAAGTCTGCAATCTCTCGGTGATATTCGATGATTGATCCAGGGCCTGGACAATGAGCAGATATTCCTGCACAGCTTCAAAATCCAACTGAGCCTGCAGGCTAAGCGATCCCGTCAAGGAATCGATTGCAAAGAGTGGCATTGCCAGCTCCTGACTCTCGTTTAATTGGGGAAAATAGCGCAAAAGGCGGTACTGGAGTTCTCCATTCGTTCCCGTGTCTGCATCCGTGGCCGTAAAGTTGTGGATAATTGTGCCAAGGGGAGTGGCCTCACTCACCTGGGAAATACACAAGAAAAAACATATCCAGGAAAAGCATTAAAAGTGTGAAATTTGAAAAGTTTTGTGACTTTAATTGATAACTTAGATATTGAAATTAATCCAATGACTCACCTGCAAATCAATGGGATCCTGTGGCCATTCTGGAGCATTATCATTGACATCGGCCACCTCAATCTTCACGGTAATGGCACTACTTTGCGGATTATTGCTAGTCGTGGTGTCCAGAGCTCGGATCTCTAAGCGGAACTCGGACTGTAGTTCCCTGTCCAGGAGACGGGCCACCACAAGGTTACCCGAATGTCTATCGATATCGAAAGCACCCTCGATGAGGTCCTTGGTTAGGGGATTCAAAGTGTAGGTGATGCGAAGCTCCTCTGAATCGGCAGCCACCTCCTCCTCTATGCTGTTCCGGATCACATCCGCCGGACGCTCACTGGGACTGATGGAACCAACCACATGACCCACGACAGCATCCTCGCGTACCTGCACAAATACCAATTATAGATTATATTCGTGGCTTATTAAGAATGGAATGGGATTTTGGATTGGGATTTGGAAATGGGAATGAGGATGAGGATGCGAATGCGGTCGCTCTACTTGGAGCTGGAACCTGGGTTCCCGGGGACCTGCGATCGTTGTTGTTCGGCGCGTATCTTAATCTCAACAACAGTGTTGAAAATCCAATCTTAAAGCAATAATTCATACTTCAAGATTACGAAGGCAGCAAACATTTAAAAATTTCAGTTTCTCCACCTCCCCTCCGCCGTCGTCTCCTGCTTGGCCTTTATTTTTTAGGACCCGGAGAAGGAGGAGCAGGAGGAGAACCAGAATCTGGGGAGGAAGCCAGTCCAGTCTCGGGTCCCAAGTCCCCCGACCAATGGCATTAAAAAGAAATTATGCATTCCGACCAAGTTGGCGGCCCCGAAAATCACTGCAGCAAAAATGTTGGGGATCGGATCGGGTGGGAAGAGCAACCAAGAATCTTCACAAGACACAAGAAGAAGCTCTTCTCTCCGCACACAAGAAGAATTTAATATGCAAAACCGCAAAAACCGTTTCAAGAGGAGAAGTCCCTACAAACCGAACAAAAAATAACAACAAGAAAGGTTCTCTTCTCTGCAGTTTTTGGGTATCTTTTTTCATAAAATAAAAACATTGCAAATATTGTTTGGGTCGCCAAAATGGAGACACAAAAATGACAGTCACGAGATTTATGCCCCGCCAAGATTACGCAGTTGAGTGAACCACAGCAAGGCACTGAGAGAAAATGTTGTATTTACTTTAGAAGTTTTAAAAAGGAAAATTGAACATAGATTGTTAAAATTTTAAAAGAGATTTATGTTGTTTTGTTAAGTTTTTATGAAATTCGGTGGCTAAACAGGCTTTTAAAGTACATAAAAAGTATCAAATCTGTAATCCTGAAATCTTCTATAAGATATTCTCTCTCTTGAGAAGCTATATTCTATATATTTAAAGAATTTCTTTCACATTTTTCCAAGTGTAAGTTTAACTAACGACTACTGAGGTCTTTTGCGGCTTGTTCATTTCGGTTTTTGGCCAAATTATGCACAGAAAGAGAGAGAGAGGAGGAGACGGAGAGAGAGAGAGACCACAGAGCCACAAAAATGGCGCATGATTTGTTGTGCACTTTTATGGCAGGATCCTTCCTTTCCTCTGGCACAGCACAAGGAAGAAGGGTATAAAATCCCTTGGGGGCCTTGGGTCGGAAAACGAAGGGAGGCTGGCTGCTAGTGGTAAGGGGAATTGCTTAATTACAACGGATTTATTTGTGGCAATCCGTCGCTGAGTAATTGGCATCACCGCAGCATGGAGTGGAGTTTTTGTAGTCAACGGGCCAACGCCAACGCAAAAGAACAAAAGCCAAAAGCCAAGATCGCGGCAGGTATCAAAGCAAAGGGAAACCAAGTCTCCATCTCCATCTGCAACTCCAAGCGAAACGCAGCGAAATGTGTCAATTTTAATTGTGGCCGAAGCGGATTTAAGGGACGCACGAGGATGAGGTTGTCCCCCGGCTCCTTGACAGAGCTCTCGGAGCTCTGTGTGCCTCTCCGAGAGGCAATTAAATGCATGTCAAAGCGTCGGAGCCATCAGCGGTTGAGGCAGTCCATGAGGTATCCATGGAGGACGGGGACGAGAGTATGCAAAACATGTGCGAATCGAACGTGATAAAAATGTTAAAGGGTTCCCAAGAGAGAGAAAAGGGACAAAAGGAGCAACCGAAATCTAAGTTGATTCTTCCTCCAGGCACGAGGCGTCCGACTGACTAACTGACTGCACCTCCTGATCTCTCAACTGACGTCTCGAATCGCACTTAATAGGCCTGGCCTGGCTTGGCCAAGATCCCCATTCCTGACCGAGTGGAACGAGGCGACTTGTCACACTGCATAGTGACAATTACGCGTGCGCAATGAACACGCCGACAATGCCAAGAGGATAAAGATGCTCTTTAGGCACTGGAAAAAAGGAAGGTGTAACGATATCCTTCCATTCAAAGCATTTCCCTTACTAGACATTGCTTTTTGCCAAGTGTAATTTCGGCTCTCAGGGCTTTGAATGCAAATCGCGACACTTCCCACGTCTGTGGCACTCTGACATCTGCTTCCGAGCTCTTTAAAGGGAAGGAGATGGAGTGGAGGCCAGAGCAGGAGGTGACCAGGATGGAACCAACTCTCGGAGCAGAGTCGTGTTCTTGGCCATTGTCACGTGAGGCTTTAAGCTGCGGCTACAAATCATTCGCGGCACAAAAGGCGGCAGAAAAGGCGAAGAAAAAAGGCGACAAACGCGCTGCTCACGATCGTCGTCGTGTAAAACTAGAAGCGTCAAATAGACAAAAGTTTTTCCAGGAAATAACCTAGCTCCAAGCCCCGAAAAACCCATCCCCATAGTGACCTTAGCATAAATCTAGTCGTCTTCGTCGTCGTACTCACCCTAAACACCAGACTGGAGCTGGTGAATGTTGGCCGATTGTCGTTGAGATCCAAGACCTCGACACGGAGCATCCGTACCGTTTCCCTGGGCGGACTTCCGCCATCCGAGGCGGCCACTCCCAGGCGATAGATGCTCCGCTCCTCGTGATCCAAGACCACGCGAGTGCGAATTACTCCCGTGCTGGGGTCAATGCTGAACAGACCATGTCCATCGGAGTCACGACCCTTGACAATCGAATAGGTGATGGAGGCATTCTGTCCATAATCCCGATCGATGGCTCTTATGCGCACCACCTCTGTGCCCGATGGTTGCTCTTCACGCACACTAACCACATCCTCCTGGGGATCAGCAATCTCTGGGGCATTATCGTTGACATCGCTCACGTGGACGCGAACGGGAACTCGGGCACTTCTTACTGGAACACCCTGATCCCGGGCCTCCACCATAAGGTCATAGAGTTCACGGAGCTCCCGGTCGAGGGGTTCCCGGGTGGAGATTTCACCTGGAAATTGGAAATCGGAGAAACAAAAAGTAAGGTTAATGTTGAAGTACGAATTTTGTGGCCTAACTGGGTCGCCTATTTTGATAAATGCCCCGCAAAAAGGAATTCGTGTCAGGGAAACCAGTTTGCCAGCCAGGATTAGCTGCACGAAAGATTTTCATATTTAATTTAAATGAGACGAGAGAGGAGACGAGGTGTCGTCTCTCTCCGAGTTGCCTGCAGCGGACACGCATGAGGCAAAACCTGGACACGGACACAACAGTGGCTCTGGATGTCAGGCCAATGATATTCCATTGACGGATGAGCTGACAGCGTTAAAACTGTTGTTGCCCGAACACTAATGGTCAGGCATCGGAGACCGAACCGCTCGAGATCTTGGGTATCTCTTGGCGATCGCATTTTATCGCTTGGCAGGAACAGGTTTGCCATGCGCTTGATCTATGGTCCAGAGCTAAGACCGGCAAATGCACAGGGAGAAATATATACTTGAAATTGAATAACATTTAAGGAAATTTACATTTGTAAAGAAGGTGAAATCTCTTCTTAAAGACTTTCCTTCTTTCTTAATATTATATAGAGAATAGATTTCCCAAGTTTTCCGCCCAGTGTCTTAGATTGTAAGCTAGATCTCCTTCTTGTGGCTTTGAGGAGCCAGTAATGAATGACCGTGGGTCATGGCTGGTGGCTTGACAGTTGCCACCGCCACCGGAGAGGAGCGAAGCCGCTCTGTTGAGTGAGTTGTTCCCCGTTTGGTGAGCTGGGGCCTTAATTTATGGCCAAAAGGAAGCTAGCCGCGACTCACCTGTGACGGGATGCACCTGGAAGCTGGAATTGGCCGGCAGCAGGCTATATCGTATGGCCGCATTCTCACCCAAATCCAGATCAGTGGCCATCACCACACCCACGATGGAGCCCCGCCTGAGGTTCTCCTCGATGCGGAACTCGTATTTGGATTTCTGGAACTTGGGATCATTGTCATTGGCATCGAGGACACGCACAGTGACTCGGGTCTTAGCATGGGCAGCCGGTGTCCCATTATCCGTGGCCAGTACGGTCAATTGGTAGCGATCCCTGGCCTCCCGATCCAACGGAGCACGCAGGTAGATCCATCCAGAGTTGGGGAAGATGCCAAAGTGCTGGGCCACATCGGAGCTGCTAATGGAATTCGTGACATTGTCCACGCCGGCGTCCACTATTCTATAGGTGATCCTGGCATTGTTGCCCGTGTCCAGATCGCTGGCATTAACCTGAATAATCTGTGAAATAGAGGAGGAGAAGTTAGGGGGGGGAATCGCATCAATCATTTGGGACCGAGGATGGAGAGCCATGCTTGGTGTGTATATGTGTATCTGGCAAACCAAACCTCTGGAGAACTCGTTTCGATGCCAAAGATATGAAGTGATTTTATGATCAAAACTAGTTCAGGCAAAAGGCCCGAGACTGCAGCTGAAGCTAAAGGGAGTTAAGGCAGAGGAAGGAGCTGCTGAAGTGGCTCTCTGGAGCTAGGAGTAGTAGAAGTAGTAGTCGGTAGTCGAAGGAGCTGCAGCTCCTCCTGGGTGTTGAGATATTTTCAACGCGATATGACGGCCGCCTGACAAAAGCGTGACTTTTAGTGGCTGTTAATCAAATTTATGTGCCGCATTTAGTTTGCATTACACAGATTTATTTTGCAATAAAAGAAGGATACAAAAAAGGCACCCTCAGCAGCCGCTGCTTTGAATGGATAATGGAAATTTCAAGGCAAGAAAACGCATTAACTGGACGTTAAACGGAGTAACAAAATCGTATTACTTATTAAGTCTCCAGATCACAGATCTAGAGTATAAGCTTTAAATCATAGGATGTTTCATGGTATATTCTTCTTACCTGAGCATTAATCGATCGCGATTCCGAGACATTCACTGAATATTCCTCTCTTTCAAACACTGGCGGATTATCGTTGACATCCTGAACATCTACCAAAATGGTGAGGTTCGTTGAAAGCGAAGGAACTCCTCCATCCGTAGCAGTTACTATCAGAGTATGTCTCTGAGAGGTCTCATAATCCAGATGTTGTGATAAAACCAAGTGTCCAGATCTCGGATCGATTGCAAAGAGACGTTTTCCCGAATCCCGGACCAAACTATAGCTAACCTGGCCACTGCTACCCGAATCCTTGTCGTGCGCATGCGCAACATATAGAGGAGCACCCAGCTCTGCATTTTCCGGCACAGATATTCTCATCATACTGGCCTCGAATTCCGGGGCATTATCATTGACATCCTCAACTTCGATGTTCACCTGAGTGTGTCCATAAACAGGAGGTTCACCCAATGTGGCTTGGATATTAAGTAAAACTTGGGATTTGGCCTCATGGTCCAAGGGTTTGGCAATGCGAATATTTCCCGAGCTGGCTTCAATGCTGAAATAACCATCGGGATCGCCAGAATAAATCGAGTATCTCACAGGACTCCGTTGGGCTGTAAAAAAGAGGATTAAATCATAAAGTTAATAAATATTAAAAATAATAGAAGTCGTCCCTGAATTTGCTGCTTAAATCATATATTATACCCTTTTAAAATACTCTTTCCTTATTCTGTTATAAATTCCACTCAAGTTAAGTTGGAAAACAAAAAAAATCCGGTTGTTAACATTCTCATTTCGCTGATGATGAAAGAGGACTGCAATTATTTGTGGTAGAGTTGAAGGAACTCTTTGAGAAGCGAAATTAGGAGCTCGCCGCTCATTAAAAGGCCATTCAAAGGCTTTTTGGACAATGAGTTTGCAGGAACAATAGAATCTGCTTCCAAGGAGAAGAGCCTCAGCAGCATCAGCTCTCGTCAGCGATTGACACATGAGGCAGGTAGGAGTGGATATTTTGCTTGAAAGGAAGTGCACAGCGAAAGCAGCAAATTAAAGCGCAAAATCATTTTGCATAGCCTTCGTGGATCGTCTCAGACGAGGGACTTGGGACTGGGAATTGGATCGAGTTTGAACTGAAAACGGGCCCTTCTTGTATCGTGCCTCGATGACGAGGACGTTGTTGATGGGTGCAGATTTCTGCCGAAATTTGCGTTTGAAGTGTTTTGGTTTTGTTGTTGCCTTGCTCGAAAAGATCCCAACAGAAAAATAAAAGACACTCAAACTTGGAAGTTGCATGTTGTGCCACATTTCTTTAGGGTTTTTGGTACTCTTCATAAAGGGAAGTTATTCTTTTTAGTTATTTGCTTACTTGGTTAAAAAAGCTTGCACTTATGTATAACAAAATATTTAAAAAACAGCTATTAATAATACAGAAAAAAGTGCGGATTTCTGTTTTTGAAATTCAAAAATTTATTTCAACACTTCTTCTAAAGTATCATCTTTTCATTTGTCCGTCAGTCCTTTGTCCGTTATAAAAACCCTTTAAAAGTATATTTCAAAATGCTTAGACTCGATTTAACTAATATTTCAAGGGTATTAAAGAGTATCTTCTTTCAAAGTCTCCCGCTTTATTATTGCTTGTATTAGTTATTTGCTTGTTTTTTGTGTCCGTCAGACTGATGTCCGTTTGTCCGTTAGTTGTTGTCCTTGTCCCTCAGAAGACCCATATATTTTGATTTCCAGCTCAGTGAACCAATAAAAGGCCTATAGTTAGAGGAAAGGATAAGAGGATTCTTACCGGTGTCTCCACTCGTGGCAATCACTGAACCCACAACCGTGCCCCTCGGTATGTCCTCCTTCACGTAGTAATTGTATCGGGCCTTCTCGAAGATCGGTGGTCGCTGCATGGCATCAATGATGCTAAGGAAGACCACAGCATCCGCTCGGCTCCTCAGGCCGCCGCCATCGGTGGCCGAGATATTGAGCATGTGCATGGCCTGAGTTCGAACGGACAACATGTCCGGACGGGCCACGAAAATCTCACCGGAGGAGCGATCAATCCGAAAGATTCCAGCCTCATTGCCGGCCACAATCCGGTACGAGACATGGCCAAAGTTCCCTGAATCCGGATCTGTGGCCACAACGGCCACAATTGGTGTACTTGCTGCCGCTGCCTGCGAGGTGGCTTGAGAGGATTCCCTCAGGGATACATTGTACTCGCGGGGATAGAACACTGGCCGGTTGTCATTGACGTCCGTCAACTGCATTTTGATCATGGCCGTGGTGCTGAGACCACCGCGATCCGTGGCCAATACGGGAAACTCGTAGCTGCTTCTCCTTTCGAAATCAAGCTCGCCGGCAATGCAGATTTCACCGGAGGCGGAACGCACCTCAAACTCGGTGAGATGCTTGAAACCCTCGCCCAGGGTATAGTTTACCATGGCATTCACTCCACAGTCTGGATCGCTGGCAGAGACCTGAAAAATAGCGAAGAAAGTAAAGGGTATTAATGGGGTTTGAATGAATAAAATGCGGTAAAAAGTTTCTATATCAATATGTTCAAGTAAAGTTAAAGTTAAATCGAAGAGCGAGGACTCCTTCTTGTTATGGATTGCATATTCCAACAGGTACAAATGAAGTTGTAAAAAATTTTAATTTGATTTACAGGCAGCTCTCGGGACTCCCGTTCCACAGGCTTATCTTGGGGCCCTGTTCAGGGCTTAATTTGGCAATTTGTTATGCTCGGTATTCCGCCAAGAGTTGGAGTAGGAGTCGCTGGAGTTTACCCCAAGGCAGTGGCATATCAGGCCGAGTGTCAACTTAAATTTGAGCCAAGAAGAAACTCGGAAGAGGTGAATCACTGGTGGCAGTGGATCGTCGGAAAACCGGGAGCAATGACCCCGCGCTTAATGGTTGCCAATTAGTTGGCATTTTGCGTAATCGACATTTGCATTCTGTTTGGGAATAGGGAAAGGAGTTGGAGTTGGAGCTGAAGTTGGCCTATAAATAGCTTAACCAGCGGGGGCAGGCAGGCAGGCATCGATCCCATTTTGACGCCAACGAACAACGAGTCGCAAATCAGCAATTAAAACTGTCATTATTTCACTTTTAAATAGGTAGCGGAGGAGGCCAGCAAAGGGGCTAGTTTCCTTCTTCAAGACAAGATGCAAAACAAACGAATAAAGTCAAACAACCAAGACAGAAAGGCACTGGGAGAAAAGGAGGTGCCTTTCAATAGTTGAATTCAATTAAATACAAGCAGAAAACTTCTCTAAATAAAGATATAAATATCATTGAGTGACTTAACATTCAGCAAACATTTCTCAACAGTTGCTTAACTGTTTAGTTTAGCAAGAAAATGAATTTGTTATTAACTTTAGTTGCTATATTTCTCCAAGTGCATTCACCCTTCCTCTCAGGGTCCGCCAGGCTGATATGCATTTAAAGCGAAACGTGTCCTTAGCTCTCCTCTCGTTAAATTTCAGCGCTAATTACACTTTTTGTAAGCTGCTACAGTCCATGGGCAGTGTCTTTGGGTTGTGGAGGAACCGAGGACTGAAAACCTGGCGGAGATCTGCTTAGATTGTTGCTGCGACTAAAGACTTTCATTAAGCTTAGTTGGATAGCAGTTTAAACCCGTTTAACCCCAGCCCAGGGAAATTGTCGCCAGGCGAAGGAGCTGCCTCCTCTGATGGTCTGAGATGGTATGGGATGTCGCGTCAGCCAAGAGAGATTGGCAATTTTATCTGTCAACAGCATGGAAGTTCTGGGTGCAACTGTTCCCCAGTGGGCAGAGTTGAGGGTCCATCGCGATCCGGTGCTAAATGAATGCAACGCCCACACGAATCGAAGGGATATATGCAGGGAATCGGTCGTGGGTAGGGAATAAGTCAGGGAAAGGAGAGGATCTTGCACTGGGGAAAAGTTCTTACAGTTTTAAAGATGTAGAATATTATGTTTCTTAAAGGGATTTTTGCTAATATTTCTGATATTGCTATTCCTAATTGTTAAAAGTTATTCGAATTGTTTAATAATAGTCTTTAAAAGCTCTCTCCCTTTTATTTCAAGTGTGATCTTAACACTGATAAGTTGAACAGTGAACTGAGGACAGCTGGGTTTGTGTCAACAACTGGCGGCCAGTGAAAGGCAAATCAAATCGAAGACAGACCCAAAGCCAAAAAGCCAAAAGCCAAAGCCAAGTGACATCTTCCACAGCAGCCATAAAAAATCAAAAGGAAATGCACAAAAAGGCACAAAAAATTCAAGTTCGTTTGCCAACTCTCTTCAATATATATATATAGTATTTGTGAGGAGTTGAAGCTGCTGCTTTGGAGAGTTATTCATCTTTGTCAGCACGCATTTCTCACACTCTCCTTTGCAGGTGGTGATGCCAAAAAGGTGGTTTTCACAGGGATTGGAGCTGGGGCAGCATTCAATGACCAATTATGGCCTAACAAGGCCTCCATCTCCAGCTCGGAAAGCAGCTTCTGCTGCTGCTTCTGCTGTTGATGTATGCAAATAAGCTGTCAAAAGTAATTTCATTCAATTACCTTATTTAACGTACAAAAACCGAAAAAAAACCAAGCAGAGACAGAGAGTAGTCTGGGAAGAAGAGAGAGAGGAAGTGAGTTGGGAGTTTGGGCCAAACTAAAGCAGTTAACAACAAAAGGATGAAGATGATTGCTGGAAAACAGCAGAAATGTTTTGCAGCATCCATGCGGATGTTCTTGTGGTTTGCAGTTTGATTAACACCCGAGCACTGGGAAAAATTAATGAGAAATCAATAAATATATACCCTAGCTTTAAATATAGAAATCAAAGAATAAAAGGAACTTTGATTAATAAAGAAAATGTATGTTTAAGAGCTATACATACTCTTCTATAATATTGTAAAGTTATTATTCCTTTTAAAATTCAAAGTATTGTAATTATTTTAGAATATTTTCTGGCAGTGCCAGTGGCAAAAAGCAAGCCAAAGGGAAGTTCTGGCTAATAGAAGTTGGCCAAATGTCGGTCGTGTCTTTGGCATGGATTATCACAAGAGTCGAGTGTGCATTGTAGAGTGAATGGTGTGAGTGCAGTGAGTGGAGTGAGTGGCTCAAACTGAAGCCGGGGCCAGCAAACAGTTTTTGATAAGACATCCCCACCGGAGCGGACTCAAACTCAAACTCTAACTAACACTTGTGACTGGGAAGACTTTGGGACTGGAAGATAGACTCTCGAGACTCTGGGAGAGACTCACTTGGCGAATCGCAGCGTGCGGCTTGCTTGCATATTTCTTATGCAATTTCCGGCAGATGTGGATGATTTAGCTGCCCCGCCGCAATGCCGCAATACTGATGAGAAATGGCTACGTGCTCACAAGTGCCAGTCTCGACTTTATTTCTTATAGTTTCAGCACTTTTTTTGGGGCCCCTCCTCTTCAATCGAAGTCCCATCAATCCGCTGCCAATACCAATTTCAATGCCAATTCAATGTGTGAAACCCAATACACATCACTAAGCCGAGATTGAGGCGAAGAAAGTGTTAACCAATGTGGGCGGGCGGCATCGTCATGTTTCTTGGGAGCATGTTTTTTACTGGAAGCAGAAAGCGTAAAAACTGTTGCGGTCCAAACACAGACACTGAAAATATCAATAAATCGATGTGAAATATGAGAAATTGTAAAGTTTTAAAGTAAAGTAAAGATGAGTTGAACAAGAATTTAGTACAAAATAATCACAACTTTATAGGACATTATTTTTCTCCCTCTTTTCTATATTTCAGGTAAGATTGACCAGCAATCGAATTAGTTTATAAAGACATTTACCGACGAGGATTTTGCAATAAAAGTCTCTCCTCTTGTGCGCACCTGGAGAATCCTCGGCGTCGTGTGAAGATTTCACACTTTTGCCTTGATTAGTCACGGGTTTTGTTCGCACCTCGCCCCCCGATCTCTCTGGTCTCCAACATGGCACCTGATTTATGTTGACGCCTTATCAGGGCCCCTCAATATTTATTGCAATTTTTATAAATTATTTTTTTTGCGCTCTTGCGCGCTCTCTGAGAAGATGCGCACAAGATTTATATGTGAGCAGATGTGATGATGGGGCACCGGAAAGTGGTTTAGTCCAGAGAAAGGTGGGAACGATCTATTTCTGTTTACTTTTTGTATTCTTTACCCCATTCTTGGGTCTGTAGTTGCTTTTGTTGTCGCTGTGTGCATCGTCAAACACCGAAAAGCAATTCTAACAGTTGTTGCACCGCCGCACCACCAGTGCAACATCATTGCACCACCGCTGTGCCGCCGCTTGTCGTGTTATTAAGAATTTTTAATTTTCCGGTATAGATTTCTGACTTGTTCTCAACGCTGCGTTATTCTACACTTGAGGAAAAAGTAAAGGCCAAAAATTAAAGGAAATATTTGTGATCATTAGACTGTACAAATACTTCAATCTAAGAGTTTATTATAGTTATTACTATGGGTTAAATGAGGAATTATTACTTTAATATTTTCGTAAACTAATTATCTTGGAAAATAACTATCATTAAGGCCAACATTTTCCCTCAGTGCCTTTCTTTTCTTGGCCATTCCTGTGCTCCACCTTGTCTCTCTGAGTGGTGCTGGTGCTGGGGCATCATCAAAATGCATCTAACAAGGTTGTTAGGTGTTAAATAAGTGTGCTTAAAAATTTATCTTGTACATTTCTTCCTTCATTTGATTTATGTTCTAGCACTGGCACTCTGGCTGCAGCTGTCTTCTTAGCCCGAATGCCCATTACCATTACCATTACCCCATAACCATCCCCCTTTCTCTGCCTCTCTGTACGGTTCAACTTTAAAGTTTGCCTTTCCCTCAACTTGGTTTCAACTTTTGCTTTCGCCACAAAAACGGAGAAAGAGGAGAGGAAACCGCCGCGTCTATTGATAAATCAAAATACCAATAGATGCGAAATGCGTTTGTACTGAGAGAGTTGGGGGAGATTTACATTTAACCGCCGGCCATGGACTTGACTGCGAGATCTCGCCGGGCTCCATCTCCGTCTGCAAATGGCCAAAAACATGCAAACACAACAGGCAACAGGGGGAAAAAAGCGAAGAAAAATGGTTACAAAAAAGTAACAAAAAAAAGCACTGGCAAGTTGGGGGAATGAATGCGTTTCTTGTGTTTCAAATGCCTCGCTGCTTATTTTTCCTGCCTGCTGCAGCTGCAACAAACTGCATCACCACCCGCCTTGGACTCTCGATCCTCCAGATTCCCCCACTATGACTCTGGGATGATGGATCGTTGCACACACACAGGTCTTGGGACATGGTTTTGGCCTGGAATGTGCGTCGGTTTTTGGATAACTTTGGATAACAGCGACAAAGTTCACGAACTTGAAACGGAATCAGTTCCTGTTTCAGCTGACAAAAAAAATGTGTAGCAACTACAAGAAAAACCTGAATAATTAGTCGTAGCTTTTTGCAATTCCAATCAAAATTGGTAACTAAAATA